TCAATGTTATACGGCATCCCATTTTGTTAGGATTGCTTATCAGCTTGACGCTGTTGAAAATCAGTTGTTGTATGACCATAATGTTCCACCTCCTGAAGGTAGTAATTATACTACCTCAGGAGGCTTTACTGTAAATGTCTTACAGTTAGCGTTCCACGGCCGCCACCTTCTTATGCATCATGCGACGCCAGGCACCTTAATGACCAGCCTCATATTCTGCCTGCATTTTGCACAGACCCGGGCATTATATGGCACTCATTCGTGCAGCTGCCCAGTGGGAACTGTGGGATGGTGGGACAATGATTTAGGCTATTTTCAACATAAATGAATTTCTGTGTGCATTGCGAATCATACTTTATTCTGGATTATTGACCGACTCTCGTGTGACACCTGTCGGGACAGGGACGCGGTGCGTCTTGGCTGCGGAATTCATCACCTATGCCATCACCATTATCAATCTATTGCAGCCGCTGCCGTCTGTGCGAAGGGTGTCCAACATTTCCTCATTGTACACATCCCTATCACCCAGATATTCGTTGTCCCTTTTGTGCGCAAGGGCGCTATCAGGACTTCATGATGCCGCACTGTGATGAACATCCAGCTGTTTTTTTGACATGGATGGTGGGACGATGATTCAGGCTATTTTCAACATAAATGAATTTCTGTGTGCATTGCCGAATCATACTTTATTCTGGATTATTGGCCGACTCTCGTGTGACACCTGTCGGGACAGGGACGCGGTGCGTCTTGGCCATGGAATTCATCACCTATGCCATCAACATTATCAATCTATTGCAGCTGCCGCTGTCTGTGCGAAGGGTGTCCAACATTTCCTCATTGTACACATCCCTATCACCCAGATAATTGTTGTCCCTTTTGTGTGCAAGGACGCTATCAGGACTTCATGATGCCGCACTGTGATGAACGTCCTGCTGATTTTTTGACATGTGGACAGCATGTCCTTTGTCAGGAATGTTTTGATGGGATGGTCCGTGCTAGCCATCCTGCTGAATGCTGTGCTGACGCAGCTCTCCTTGGGTATCCTTGTGAACATCCACGTCATCCTCAGCGTGCCTGTCCTATCTGCCGGGGTGGGGGCTCCTCTTCCTGAGTGGTCAATAGAATCAAGCAGGTCAGGAGCAACACTAATTGTAGGACTGGTAAAGCTTTCGATACTACCAACAGATGTGGAGTTGAAGAAAGAAGAAACAAAAAAATGAAAAAACAAAAAGAAAAACAGTAAAAAAGAAAAAACTACAAATTTCTTAAGAAAAGAAAAAAGAAAACAAGGAAAAAAAAAAATATGTTGAACTTTGTTGTGACAGTGGCAATTGGTTTATCTGTGGGATGTGTCATTTGCTTTGTTTGACTGATAGGCCTTCCTCTTCCTTTGTCTTTTCTTTGATTGGATTTTTTTTCTCTTTCTCTTGCCTTTGTGAGGTCTGTTTCCTCCTCCTTTTCTTTACCTCTTTGCCTTTTGGCTGCGTGCAAGTGGGTCCTTCTGACACACGGGGATGTGGGCAGCCAGTGCTCAACCTATCATCCACGTGGCTGGCCTTGTACGTAAGAGGTGATGAACAGGTGGGGTTTTCCTTCCTTCTTTTCCTTTTCTTGTTTTGCCTTTTTCCGTCTTTGCACTCTGATTCACAGTGTGACAATATATATATATGTGAAACTCCGACGAAACAGTTTGTCACAGCCCCTCGTTTATTGTCCTCTTCTCCCTCTCTGCCTCCGGTTTACCGGGCAGTTCTATTTGACGATATATATATATATATATATA